TATTTTACTATACAGATTTTTTTCTCATCCTGAAGTTATTGCTTTTCAAGGAGATCGATAAACTGAGCTTTTTGCCCCCTCGTTGTTTTGCGAAGCTCAAAGAGGATCACTACTTTATCCGTATTATATACTCCTGATCTCCCGTTGTGGGTAAACTATTCTATTTTTCATTGATTGATTTTACACCAGTCTGTCCCGCTTGCTGTGTATGCTCTGTGCGACTCCAAAACTGATTCTTTCCCCATGCGATAAACAGATTTTATTTTCTATCTTCCCCCCAAAGCGGACATGATTTACTTTGTAACCACACCTCTCCTCCTGTCAGACCCATGAACTTGTTGCAGAATTGCTGCGTAGTCTGACTAAAATAGACCTGGAGTCTAACTCAGTCAGACCTACGCAAGCCCCTTGTGGAAAATCGTGTCAGGTGTGATCATCCCCGCTGACTTTCAATGAGCGCTAAACGCCACAGCATCCTCCGACAAGATTTTCTGTCGGACCGGACACAAAATCGGATTCGGTGTGTTCTGGCCTTAAGGGCTCTGAATCTGGGTTGAATGTTCTACCCCTTTGCCACCACTGAGACCATAACAAACAGCTTTCATTCCTGTCTTGGTTTGCATGGTTCTGTAGTTACAAGTGTGTAAAGTCTTTTGGAGCAGATCCCCAAATTTGGCTTCAGAATGCTTCAGTTTTTCACTCACATGAGAGAAATGGGGAATCCACTGCAAGATGCTCCTGTAAAATAATCGTATTCCAGGGGATTAGGGAATCTCCGAACGTGCTGATGCCATGAGGTAAGGAAGAGCATCACATGAAGGGGGAAATCTGTGTTTAGTGTACTCCTTTGTAGGAGACACCAGAGGACCATCTTCTACTTGACTGGAGAGGCGCTCATAGTTTGAGTGAGTTAACCTCTATGATCTGCTGCAGGATGTTGTCTACGTCTGCCGACTCTAAACTAATGCCAGCCAGGTCCAGCTGCGGCAGCAGAGCCGTGAGGAGCACCACCACGTTGTTACGGATGTCACGCAGATTCTGCTGAGCTGATCTGATGAGACAAGAGAAGATGGTCATCAAACGCTGCTTTGCTAAAACACTTTGAATACCATTTTTCAAATTTTAGATAGAGAGTAAAGCCTTGGTCTCTTATTTAAATGGTGCAGTTAGAATGAGCTTTAAATGTAATCGTTTTACAAAAGGAAGCACAGAATAATGATTTATTTTCATTTAGTAAGTCTGAAATCCCTAAATAAAAAATGTTGCTACTAAATTATTTCAAAAGTCTGATTAGGTTTATTTAAAGCCGTAAAGGATTCCGGAGAATAGAAACCCATGGCCCCACCCACCAACCATTACCACGGCCAACCTGACAGCCTAAACTCATTCTAGCAGGTTTCTTTCCGTACCCACGTAAGAAGGGATTGTGTTGGTGAAACACCTCACTCTGTTATCAAAGAGTCTTTTTCTAACTTTGCTCGGTGTTTCACTATGGGAGATATGGCCCAGTCCCGAAGCCATGCGTGATTGGAAACCCAATACAGGTCTAGTAGTCTAGAGTGCGCTAGTGATGGCTGGGCCACATCCAGCCTGTAAAACTTTACAAATGTGTGCAATGTGGCCCAGCTGGCTGCAGCACAGATGTCCTGGACCGACACACCATGGAAAAAAGCCCAAGAGGTGGCCATGCTTCTAGTATAATGGGCCCTCACCCCTTTAGGGGGCTCTGAGCCTGCGCACCTATACCTACCAGATGGTCAGCTCTTCTAAAACAGGCTGTCCTGTCCACATAAACTCTTAAAGCTCTCACTGGACATAAGCAATGAAGCTTCTGCTCTTCTGTTGAAGAGAACGGGGTGGATGGAATACCAGCAATTCCACCATAGAACACCTGTATGACGACTCCAACTCTTTAGGCACAAAAGCAGGGTTGGGTATGAGGCCCACCTTAGAGAGCCCGGGTGCCCACTTCAAAGAGGCCTCACCGACTGAAAATGCATGCAACTCACTCACTCTTTCAGCTGTGGCCACGGCTAAGAGCAGGGCCATTTTCAGTGAAATAAACTAGATCCCATAATGGCACCAAAGGCTTAGAAACGGGCAACTTACGTTGTGTCGCTCTCATGAAACAATACACTAAGGGGTAGTGCCCCACAGGTTTACTACCAAACCCAATGTGACAAGCAGAGATTGCAGCTAAATAAACCTTAATGGTTGAGAAAGTTTTACCCTTGCCTAACAGGCTTCTGGGTCTGACAGGGAGAAAAAGAGAGAGCAATGGGCCGAAAAGGTCTAGGGCAGCCGCATCGCTGGGAGATCTGCTCCACCACAGAAGGATGCAGCTTCTATTCTACAGAGGGCTTCCCTTGGATAAAAGATTGGCCCCTGTGTTCAAAATCCCTGGTATGTGCATTGCTTGGACTGATTGAATTATAGTGCTGCTCTACATAATTATGTAATGGCCAGTCTGTGTATCTGCAGGGAACTGGTCCTGCCCTGGCCGTTGATATAAGCCACCACAGTGGAGTTTTCGGTCTTTACCAAGATGTGTTGACCCATCAGATCGGCATGAAGTGTTTCAGAGCGAAGAACACTACATGCAGTTCCATCATGTTGATGTGAAGCCGTGCCATTTTCGGTGACCATATGCCATTCACCGTTCTGCCCATCATAGTTGCACTCCAACTGGTCAGGCACGCATCGGTAGTCAGGGTAAGCCTGGATGCTACTGTCTCCAGCGGCATGCCCACCGTGAGAACTGTAGGGTCTCTCCACGGCTCAAGGGCCACCGCACATGCCTGTGTTACTTTTACTCTGCAGAACAGATGATGGTGGGGACAGAGTCGCAGTGGCAGGACCCACAATTTAACAGTATCTCATTATCAGAAGCCCCAGATGGACAAAGAAGGAGCCGCAGGCACAGTCTGAATGAAAAAATGTTTCCTAGCTGAAACTGTGTCATGCATTGAGTAAATGATAGGATTCTCCCCTCTGATAGTGTGACACGATAAGAGAGGGAGTTTATCCTAAGACCCAAATACTCGGTGCATTGCATAGGAATCTGGCGACTTTTTGCCCAGTTTATCCTGAACCCAATGCTGATGAGGTGGTTCAACACTGCGAGGAAGTCGCTGACTGCCTTCTCGCTTGATCGAGAGCAGATGTGATAGTCATCTATGTACGAGAATATTATGATCCCACGTGTCCTCGGAGGGGAGAGTGCAGCCTCCACAAACTTGCTGAACAGCCTCGAGGCTAATGACAGCCCGGAAGTGTCTTGAGTGTCAGCATAAACAGCATAAATGTCTGTTTATGGGTCCCTGTGGGGGAGTTTGGCTGGGCTTGTGAGGCAAACAAAGGTTAAAAGCCTCATCCTCCTGTTTTCTGAGAGTAGTTGACTTCCTAATCTTTTCAAAGGAGGGGCAAAATAGACCTTTTGTTGGGTCATAAGTCCATCCATAATCTCAGCCATCTGGGAATCACTCAGGTTTAACCATAGGCCTCTTTACCCTGAGACAGCCAGACCCATGACATGACCACAACGTTGGACTGCACCTCTAGAGGAGCATAAGATGAGATTATTCACCACACAAATCTCATCCCATAGAGTGGGGTTAGGTGTCCCCGAGTCCAGTTGACACCTCATCTCCTCCAGAATCTTGCCTTGGTACACAGACAGCAGTGTAACAACGTTGATCGAGCACAATGGCTGACCAGCATATTTGTACATCCTTTGGTAAATGGAGGCAGTAAGCAATCCATTTTACCTGGGAGCGAGATGCTGAAACTGATCTGCAATTAGGGTGGAGGTGGTAAGCCACTGAAGGCTCTGAGGGTTCTGCCAGCCCCAGCTCACCCATGCCCTGTATCTCCAGCTTAGTGGTAAGCTTGCTCTTAAATGGACTGGACCCGAAATGGCTAATTTCTCTCATGCAAGCAGGGAAGACTGGTAAAAGCTGCTTTGCTGATGGTAAAGCAGGTGGAAGACTTTTACCATCATTCAGTTCCCGTTCTGCTACTTCTGAATCCTGAGCTGCTGGCCAGGGGATGTTCACCTTTAGAGTCGCCCGTCTGCACAAATCGTACAGGACACTGTCCCCTGGGGAGGTGACGTCTGCCCTGCTTGGTGGCCTGGAGTGTTGACCTGGGAAGGTCGAGTCCTCCTCTTGCTCCATGTCCTCTAGTTCGAGGAGGTCAGAGTTAGCATCACCCTCCGTTTCGTCGTTGCCTGCATCAAGCTTACCGCTGTCCATAAGGCCAGGGTAGTCCTCCTCCATCATGTCTGCCTAGCTCTTAGAAGCTTGTGGCTGATGGTTTTCACCTGCCGCCGCAACGGCTGAAGGTGAGGAGAGGCATGGGTCCTGGCTGTTAGCGACAGCCACCCCCAACAACTCTCCAGGATTTTTTTACGGCATCGATGCACAGTGCTGTCATCCCTGAGGGTCAGCCAGCGACGCCTGAACCTTTTTTAGTGCCCATGCATGACCTAAGCTTTGGCAAGGGTGGGAGCCTCAACCATGACGAAAAAAGAGCTTGTCGTTAAACTTTAGCTCTTAAATAAACTCGTCCGACACGACACATTAACTAGACTCTCATGCTAGCGATATACCGCTAACCAAAAACCAAGCCTACCTTTACGTGTTAACTTAGCCGACACAAACGCTCTCTATTCTGTTATTTAAAACAGGTACAGGTACACAGTACAGGCCTGTCATGGTATTGCGTTCAGCAAAAATGCCTAAGAACCGTTAAACAGGTCCAAGCTAACCTGAACGCGCTGAGGGAGCTTAGCTGTAGACTTTACAAAGGAAGAAGGTGAGAATGAGTTCAGGCTAGCGGGTCGAGCCATGGGCACGGCTCCACCTGTCTGTCAGAAACAGACGTGATGTCATTGTAGCTTCCGTAGTTTGTCACGCCAAGGCAATTCTCCATAGTGAAAGACCGAGCAAAGTTAGAAAAAGAACCAATTTCTTTCAAAAATCTTTTGAGCCCAGTGAGATAAAGTATGTAGTCATTGTGTGACTCTTTACCTGTTTTCATCACAGCCGTCGCCGTCACTCACTCTAACTCGGCTCTGACTTTCACTCCTCTCCTTTCTTGATCTGCTCTCCATGCCTGGCACTGAAGTGGAGCACTGTTGGACACAAAGAGCATGTTTATAGCCTGCTACAGGATACTTCCTGATTCTTTCAAAATTAATTTGCATATACTTGGGTTTCATGCATTTTAAATAAATAAATTTAGCTTGTCACTTGATGCCACTTTTTGAGATCCTCTTTCTTAATTAGTGAAATGCATATATTCGGCAAGTAATTAACTGTAGGAACACAAGAAAACTCTATTTCTTTGCACGAGCAGCATGTGATTTAAATAATGACCTCAGGCATGGTAGTTTGGCATCCAACGTCCTTGCTTGTTGTGGATGCGGTCGATCTCCCCATCCCGCCTTTCTCAGCAACACTGTCAGCAGTCGTCATGGTGCCTTGCGTTTTCTTGGAAACCTCCAACCCCAGAAGGCTCCTAAGCCGCTCAGCTTCCCTCTCCAAAGCAGCTAGCTTCTGCACCTTGACTTCCCGCTCCCCCAGCTCTGGAGGCAGTGCTCTGCTCTGCGGCCGTTCTGTCCTCAGTGGGGACACCACCACGGTCTGGGTGGCTTGTGTGGAGTAGGTCCAGGTGTTGTTGGTTGGGTTTAGCTGCAAGTTGTTTGGTTTCTCCACTTGGCTGCTGCTGTCCTTCCTAAACGTGTTTGTTTGTTTCTCAAGAGGCAGATGCTCTGCAGCGTTCCCCGAGTCCAGCTGCTGCTGTCTCCAGCGCTTTTTTGTTATATAGGTAAAAATAGGTTCAGACTTTCTTTTGCGGCTGAAGAAAACAAAGAACAGGTGGTTAGTTCACTTTATCACGTTGAGATATGTCTTAACATTTTCTTTTGTCACACTCAACTAATTTTCCCACACAACAGCACCCCCCTGTGGTGATTAGTTCCTCTGTATCCCACCTGAAAGCCTCTGTGTGCTCCTCCTCTCTCTCCACTGCCTCCATCTGCTTCTCCACTGTCTCCGTCTGCTTCTCCACTGTCTCCGTCTGCTTCTCCACTGTCTCCATCTGCTTGTCCTCGTCCTCCTTCTCTTCAAGCCTCTGGTCATATTCCACATTTTCAGCTTCCTTCTGCTCTTCATTGACCAATTTGCTTCCAGCAACCTTCCCTTGGTATTGTATAACCAATCGAGTTTTTATCTCATCGTTTGCGTGATTGTCTTTCTGCAAACATGCCTCGTCCTGATCTAGTCTCTTTTCATGTGTACCGTCTTCAGGTTTGTTTGGGGACAGGGAACAAGGTTGCTTTGAGGAAATGGGTGACAGGGTTTCATTCTTTTCTGCGAGTTCCTCTGAGTGCTGAACCTGAAACACAACCAGGTATGCTCATAAAAATTTTACAAATCTGGCTTGTTGAAAACTGTTGCTAAAAATACTACGCACCTCTCGTGATTTCTCTCGTTTCCTACTTCTGGACTGGTCTCTGCAGGAAAAAAATAGATACAGTGAGACATTGAAGGCACTGGAAACAGAACTCAGATGCAAACATGTTATGTCATGTTCTTATTGTTTACACACACATTCTGCTTCATAAAACACTGGATTGCTGTCAGTTAAGACTTTAAAACCCTGTTTTGAGTGTCCTTTACTAGTGTTTTAGTCAAGACCACTTAACCCAAGTCCAGGCCGGGGCCATTACTGTCCTTAGTAAGAGAATATTAGTCACCGAAGGCCCTGATTTAACAAGGTTTTCTGATTTTATATAGTTATATACTTGGAAACGAGTTTAAATTTCCCATGAACCGGCTGGCACGGTGCTTCACTAACCACTTCTCAAGGCTTAAATCTTTCAAGAAGTGTTCCGCTTCTTTAAGTATTTAAAGATTTGATCAGTCTTGCCAGCTATTTCCTTAAAAAAACCCTTTTCCTCACAAAGACATTTGTGAGGAAACTGCACCGTTTGAACTTTATACATTTTTTTTTCCATTTCTAAATCAGTGTCTTCACATGTTTCTGCTTGCTGCTAATATTTTTTATTTTTTTCCAGTGTTTTATTGTCATTACACTGTCATAAGTACAGCACAACAAAATTCACTCTCTGTTTTAAACCCTTCCCCTTGGGGAGAAGTGGGCTGCCATTTGCGGCCGGGGAGCGGTGTGGGGTTAAGGGTCTTTGCTAAGTCTATGGTAGTGGGTTTCCCACTCACAACCTCAGGATTCTCAGAGCCTTATGTGGCTCTTTAGAGTCCCCCTTGCGGCTCCCTAGAGCTTTTTAAAAAAATTATATTTTTTTATTTTAATATGGTGTGCAGGAGGTGAAACAAAAATGAATTATGTTTTCCAATGCTGTAAACATTTGTATAATAAATAAATGTAAACAATAATTTGCGTAATAGCCATAGAGATCAGTTGTCATAACTTGCAACCAGCGTGAAGCGGTGCCAAGCAAACAGAGCTGCAGGTGTGTGACCATGATTCCAAAGGGAAAAAAGGAAGATAGCTGATGAGAAAAGACGATTCAAAGAACAGAGAATAATTTGCTTTCACTATCAATGCGGGAGGATTGCCTGCATGTTTGCTTTGTAATGAGAGGTTGTCAAAAAAGAACAAGAAAAAATTTGGAAAGGCATTTCCAGGGAAGGCATGCTAAATATGCAACCGACCACCAAGTTGGGAATGAGAGAAAAAGTGCGATTGCAGAACTTCTGGATAAATTAGAGGAGAGCAAACATAGATTTAAGAAGTGGATTGCATCTCCAAACTCCACTCCTGCTGCTGGTTTAGTTGCAAGGATGGAAAAGCGTCCACAGATCAAACAGGTAGCGCTCTGATGCAGCTATGTGAACTTTCTTCCATTTTTTTTCCCAAATCCTGAAAATAAAAATAACACCAAGGAATGCTGGTGTTTCGGGGTTAGAAAGCGCTGCTCTGATGGAAGTCAGTTCCTGCCTGGTTCCTCGTGGCTCAATCAACTCCTCCCAACAGAAACACGTCCGTCCATCCATCCATTTTCTAACACGCTTAATCCCAAGCAGGGTTGCGAGGGGTGCTGGTGCCTATCTCCAGCTGTCTACGGACGAGAGGCGGGGTACACCCTGGACAGGTCACCAGTCCATTGCAGGGCCAGAAAAACGTCCACCATAGAAATATTTTTTATTGTGTTTCTATAATTTCATCAATGCAACAAAACCTAAACCGCTGTAATGGGCAGAGAAGGGTGGTGAAGCAGCATGTGTTGAATTTCACGCAGTGAGATCCTCCCTGACCTCATGCTACTGACATTTGCTACAGATAAACATTTAACCATGAATGCTTATTATATATTAAAGCCCACGTAGTCCTTTTGTATTGTGGTCTAATACACTTTGAGCCCGTGTTGCCATACGAGGCATATATAAGACTGTTACATTTTTGGGGCTCCAGATAGATTTATTTTTTATTTCTTTGGTCCAATATGGCTCTTTGAGCAGTTTGGTTTGTAACTCCTGCCCTAACCACTAGGCCACCACTACCCCTGAGAGACATCTTCCATACTGTTCTAGTGCCTACAAGAAAAGAATACCCATCTGTTTAGTCATACTTCTAGTCAAACCAAACATAACTTATTTCAGCTTGCTTTACTCTAAAAAGAGAAAAACAGCACAACGATCAAGTATTCAAGGAAGTATTCAAGAAAACACAGATTTTTATCTTTGTCTCAAAATCGTGATAAAGAATAACGGATGCAGATAACATTGCTCTGTAAAATATTACCCTGGGAGTTTCTAATTTTGTGAGAATCTTATACTTCTGGTTAGTTTGGGACACTTCAAGGCAGCTCAGCTAAATTCAAAAAGCTTTACTCTTTAAATACAACATTATAGCTGAAACAGTTTACTGTAATTCTAAATTCTAAGCTACAATTTTAGCAGTATCTAGAAATCACATATACAGTCATGAAGAAACTATTACACCACCTTGTTATTAAACTAACAAGAATATATCAGCCTGCATATAAAATCCATGATATAAACTCCACCTCTGTTTAGAGCTTATGAAACCCACTGGTCAATAATAAATATGTACCCATGTTTGTTATGTATTATTCTCTGTTTGAGTAATGTCAGTCATTGAAGCCTTTTCTTATATTTTACTCTGCAAAATGAGGAATAAAAAAAAGCCTGATTTAAGCTGATATTGTATTGGGATTAATATCGGTTGAGACTGAAAGATGCAATATGCGTATCATATCGGGAATGATAAAGTTGTATCAGGACATCCCTAACGCCTATTATGCAGAAAATGTCTTAAAAATGTTTTGCATGGTAACATTTGCACGTATTTCATACAGGGTTTTCCAGCTGCATAGCAGACCTGGGCGTGAAGACAAGAGAGAGCCTGCCTGCAACTTCTAACTACCATGACTGGAAGGCATTTAGCCCTACCCTCATGAAACTAAATTTAAAGGAGATAGATTTGTTCTACATGTCTATACATTTGCTGTTTGATAAAACAAATCTGCAAAAGACAAGTTTGTGAAAAATTGCCCTTTTCCTAGAGTGATAGGTCACTTCTAATGGGATACTTTTACAAACCGCAGCTTTATCTACTGCTCTGAAGAGGAGCATTTTCACTGGATACATGTTGGTTAAGGCAGGAGAAGACTTGAAGATTGTTTTCTTGTGACCTTCCCCATCAAAACTTTCTGTTTATTGATACTACAGCAGTACCCTTCACTTGTTTAAAACTGGTTTTACTATTGACTATAGTCCTTAAGGTCTCTGAATAGGGTGTGTAACATTGGTTGGGCTGAAAATGGCATATTTTCTGTTCTTTGAGCCCTAATGCAGGCCTGGTTAAAAGGCCAGGAATGAAACAACAGCTTTTCTTCCTTTTATGGTATGTTCATGAATATTTAGATGAGCTGTGCACTGATTGGTTGGTTTACAAAGAGGGGAGCTGCTGAGCAAAGATACATTATAGCAACAAGCACTCACTCACTGAAACATCGAGGTTGTTGGTATGGTAGGATTACCTCTTTTTCCTGGACATGTCTGAGTTTTCATACCTAAAAAAAATGTCCGCAGGGGATTTCAAAATCGTCCGGGATTTTGGTTGACTACAGTGCAGCAGAACCAAGCCGTAAACTCTGGGGCTGGTCCAGGAACCCCGGAATCCCCCCCCAAGGGCATGACAAAAGTACAGGCCAGAGCCAAATAAGGCAACATCCCCAAGTTTACGTCAACTCGGTGCTTCATTTGAGTTTGCCCGTTTTATGGTGGAAGTTTAGAATTGTGAGATTTGCAGAGAAAGGAGGAAATTCTCTGTACGTCCATTTCACCCACTGAACTATCGTTATTCATCTATGACAATGTAAACTCGGTTTTGCATTCTATGACCTCTTTAAGGAACCCAACGAATGAGTTCCATCAAATGTAAACCAGTCACTTAAAAAAAAAGCAAGATGGTTACATACGGATAAAAAAAATTTACTCTTTACCTAGACTGTATCAGACTGTTGATCTTTCCCTTTATGCCACATAAAATGGATTTTAGCAACACAACAAGATCAACGAGATCTTGACAGCAGCTTTTGAAAGATCCCAATTCCATTTGGGCTTACAGGTCAAGCCGCAAATTTAACATCAGTATTTTATAGGATGCTCAGAGAAACTGACTGCTGTGAAACTGGTGGCCGGTCGGGTCATTTCACCGCCAATATCTTGGAAATCCAACATCTCACTCAGTGAATGAACCATCTGTAATCCACACCTGCAATAACAAGGCTCCTCTGTGTCGGAGCTGCAGATGGGAAAATGTACAGTAATTGCAGCTTTTTTTCAATATAAGTAATATTTCCAGTGTAGAAAGTGCAAACATCTTGTATTTACCTTTTCTTCTCTTTTGTGTCTTTTAAACATGTTTCCAAATATTTGCACACATGAATAAAACAAATTTAGACAAAAAAACTGGATAAATCTGGTATTTTTCAACACTGCAAACTTACTCAATAGACCTTTCTTTGGTCCATTGAGGTCATTTCTGGTCATCTACATTTTTTAAATACTAAAGCTAAAAAATACTAGTTACAAAATAGTATCAGGGGTATCAAGTAGAAGAGCACACATCCCATCAATACTTCATATAATATATGCTTCATTTGGATGCTGGGTTGCTAAGTTTTTAAAATAAAGACTTTTTCAATGCAACTAAAAACTGTAAGCCTCAACTTTTTTTGGAGTTAACTGTAACATCTAAACAAAGCAACTAATTCACCTGATATTCTTTTCAGAGCCCAAAACAAGAAAACATTTGAATCTATGGAAATTCTACCCTGCATTCAAATGAGGTTTTATACAGGGTAGTAATTTTAAAGCGCAGCAAAACAGGAAGTTATTACCGTATATGGATGATGATATTGTGTCCATTGTAACATTGTCGTGATGCGTATCATCCTGTGTTTCTGTTAACACAGACTTGTTTTCTGAACTAAAATACTTTTACTTAGAGATGAAACTGTAAAGGAAATGTTTGGGCACTAGAACTACAAATACATTTCATTCAGCAAACCTGTGTAGGCTTAAAGCGAAAACAACATAGTTTATACCGAAACTAATACCAATGTCAGAGTAACCGGTCAAATGCTTTCCTACAAGATTCTTTGTTTTATTATATATATATTTTTTAACATTTTAGTCAGTGAAGCTATACATCAATATGGGAATTAGAGGCTGTTTAAGTCTAGCCTGGGTGCCATTCCGAACTTAGTCCCGCCCACAACGTTTGAGGTCGGGAAGTTCGGTCTTGCATTGCTCAACAGTAGCGCGAGTATGCTAGCACAATATCTGGCGGGCCAATCAAATTGTCAGGGCGGGCTTTATACGATGATGGACAGATGATCAACAGTAACGTAATCAACCACGTGACCAAAGCGCGCTTGGGTGACAACAACAATGGCTGCCGCTGGAGAGTTGGGGTGAGTAGATTCTGCTATTAGGTCTGTTCTAGAAGATATCGACAGCAAATTAATTTTAAAAGAGGAACAGAGAAACGCGATCAAGGCTCATCTTATTATAGGCGTGCAACTGCATGCTTTGATTTTTGTTGACAACAACTATGCGTCGCTTAACATACGTCACGCACTCCGTTGCTCTTATTGGTTGTAGGTCTATCCAATTGAGTGCAGAGGCATTTTTTTTCCTGGTTCGTTCAAAACACGCCTCATAATCACAGCTCTATGGAGCAGTATCAGACTCATATTCTGACTAGAATTGAGAAGGACTATGTCAGGCTAAAATTGTGTCAAAACAGTGAAATTGTGATACCGAACAAACCGACCAAGTTGATTGTGATTCGATAAAGTGAGCAGATTTATAAATGAAGTTAGAGATTTTTTAAAAATACAAGGTTAAAGCTTAGAAAGATGATTTTACTCATAAATTAAGTTTCCAGATTCATCTAAAATGACTTAATTGATGGATGGAGTTCTTGCGCTTATTTTGGTATGAAGTGTATGATTCTGCGCAATCACTGCATGGCTAATCTGGTGACACAGCTGCTGGGAGTAATTTAAAAGAAATATGCTGATCAAGTCCAACCCAGAACACAACTAGTTGAATTAATCTGCTTTTTTCTGATGTTTTACAAACTGACCCGCATTGTGAAACACGTTAAATTAAACCTCTATATTGGGAACAGGTTTGTTAGCTTTCTGAGCTTAAATCTTAGGTGGTGACATTGCTAATAAACCTTTACTACTTTTATCTTTTCTGAGCATTGTGTTATGCACTGATGTCAGGTTATGTTGTTTCTGAATGCAACATTATCAGCAACTTTAGGCTTTGAAAAATTAAAAAGTTGCTACGTGTAGTAGCACGGAAAAAGATGATACTAATGGGTCATCAGTGACATTTTGGGTTTGAGGTCTGACTTAGTCATTCTTTAGCATGATTTCATAGTGAAATAACGTTTCTTCCATTATCAGAAACACGTGCTGTCACATGGAGAGTGGAGCCTTCAAATTTAGGGCTGAGAAACTGACAAATGGAAACCACAAAACCGTGCACACATGCACCCAGTCGCACAGAAGACAGAGTGTGTTAAAAGGTCTGTGTGAGAGGTTTAGAGAAATAGGAATTTACATTTTCTTGTGGTTTTTTTGGTAGCTGGGTGTTAACTGTTCCTCGCTCTCCTCGGTTTCCTCTGGCGAAGAGCAGCTTCTGCAAAGACATGAGGCCCAGCAAAAGGTCAGCCACAGCTAAAGTACAGTTAGGCAAGCATAAACCCACAACACTGATGGCCAAAGGAACTGTTGCTTTTTTTTTCTCCCTGCAATTCAACAAATACTACTACTTGCTGAACTGGGTTAAAACAAAAAACAAAAACAAGTCTCTCAAAACACTGTAAACATACTCCACCTGTAACGACGATTGGGGTTTAGGCTGCAGGTCCAGTTTTCAGGAGTGACCTTATAATAGTGTGGTGGGACACTTCGCCATTTGAGACATTCTTCACACTGTAACCACAATGGACCCCTGTGAATGCAATCAGAGCTGCTGGTTACCAGAATAATTCAAGCATTTCATAATCAATTATTATACTTCTAAATATTATGGTTATATCTAGATAGCAAAGAATAATATATAGAATACAATCTGCTGAATTTTCGAACTGTTTTCTATTTCACTGTGGTTTAAAACTTTCTTCACAGGCCTGCCTCAGCATGTTGCTTCAGAAACTGCTCCTCAAACCAAATATGTTTTCGGTTTTCCAAAACCTGAAAGACTTTAGCATGAGGAAAGTTATTAAGAGATGTATATCATCACTGCTTCATGCTGCCACGTGGAAAGGGTTATAAAAATGTTTGAGGGACAACATAATAAAGATGGAAGATACGTTAAAATAGGAGGTTAATGTTATTTTAAATAATTTCAAAATGTTCTTTGCATATAAACTGACGGATATTAGATGTAATTTAACTGCAGCAAAAAAAACAAACGCAGAAAAAGTGCAGTAACCTAGTTTCTTAGAGCAACATTGAGATGCTTGAACTATAACTTCCAGGGTTAGGCCCCCTGAAGGCTGCTGGCGAGACTGCAATGTCACAAAGTGAAACCGTCTCTCTCTGTGTTTTGAAATCTGATGGCAAATCATTTTGGACCAGCAGGTTTAGAAGTCATGGAGTTACTAATAAAGACAAAGAACCAAAGAATTTCTAATCAGTTAAGTTAGGTTTAGTGTTCAGGGGGGCTCAGACTGTGTTAAACCTGGGCTCTGGGTCATGTGACCCATTTAGTGATGGATCACTCCCTCATTTAACATATATACACACTGTAACTACCTGATCCATCCCGGAAGCACAATCCATACCACCAGCTCATTTGCATATACGCACCGAGATATACATCCAGGTCGGCCTTGATTTTATTTTGCAATAAATACCTAAATTACATTTCCCTCCTGAAATATAGTAAGCATACTAAAATCTAATGTGTTAAAGGTTAATAATGTAAAATAAATGCTTTAAAAGCCTTTCTGTTTTATCACTGGTCTGTGCCTAATCTCTAGCGGAAACAGGAGTTAACTTTTTCGGCTTTGGATTTAAACATAAATCTAGTCTTTTTGAGTTTTACGCTTTCCTTTTGTTTTAATACTAGGGTATATAATGCATAACCTAAAGAATGAAACACCTAAAATGCAGATAAACATGGTTTAATCATATTTTGCCAGACTACTCTGAGCAAGGACAGAGGACAGAACTAACAAGAAAAAACCCATATATGCACATTAGATTACTCAGACATTGACAATGTACTCCTTCTTAACTGCGACTGGACAGGATGCTCTTAAAATAATATCATGATATTGGATGAAACAATTATTATAACGATAAAAGCGAAGATAAAAAAAAAAAGTAAACATTTCTTCTATGTGGTGTGTCATAGGTATCTGTATGCCTGTGACTGCTTACCGCAGCAATCATAGGCCCACAATATAAAATAATACTATTGAAGAATATACACATTTAAATTTGGCTTCTTCAAGACATGTGGTACTTGTAGTACCGCATATTTCATTAAACATCTCTAGGCAACAACCTTTAATCTATTTTTAATATATATATATATATATATATATATATATATATATATATATATATATATATATATATATATTATGGCATAGAGCTTGGAATCCTGAGGTTCTGAGTTTGAGCCCCACTCCCATAGACTGCCACTCTGGGTCTCTGAGCAAGACCCTTAATCCCACACTGCTCCCCAGATGCCCCATGATGGCAGCCCACTGCTCCCCAAGGTGATGGGTTAAATGCAGAGGTAAATTTCTCCAATGTGAGATCAATAAAGTTCAATTATTACATTATCATTATAATTACCCCAGTTTTAAATCACTGATTCTAATCTATCCTTTAGAAAATTATTATAATGAGTAGGAGTTTATCAGGATAATTATAAACATTTGGATAAATGCCAACCCCTTTTCTTAACTAATGATTAAACATCTAAAGGCAGTTGTGAGCTAAACAGGAAGCAATGAAATTAACTTATAATAAATTGTCTGAACTGTTATTAAGCTGGTTGCAGCCATCTGTGGGGCTTATATATTGGATATTTTGTCCTGTCTTGTAAACAAGGCAGGTGATTAGGGCCATTCGTACAAAACCCAATCCGAGGAGCTTTAAAGTAGATCAAAGAAGTTATAATTGCATCACGATATGTTAAACACCCAAAAGTGTTGCCTTTTGACGAAACAACTACAAAACACCTCCCCATTCTCAAACTTTCAACATTCATCTTTTATCCGGCAAACGGTTCTTTTGCTGAACATGCTGTTTGTCAGTCCTAATTCAAAGGAATCTGTACATCTCAGATTTGCAGGAAGTTGAGAGCAGATCAGCATGGAAATTAAATGCCAAATCAGCTTGTTTTGTTCTGGTCCAGTGATGGATGATGAAGTGTGGACACGGTTCATACTTACGCTATTTAGTAATGTCATACAGTACAGCGCTTCATAGACAATTAAAATACTGTTTCCAAAAGTTCAATGAATGGCACTAAAGGTTTCCTCACTAAACGAAGAAAGGTTATAAGCAACATTTTAGGTGTGAGTCCAGGACTAAGTATGAATCAAAAGTTTCTCAGAAGCTCAGCAGATGTTAGGTGGAGGCTGTCATCATTATTTCTATTTTATCAGATTTCAGAACCGTTAATAAATGTAAAGCTAGTCTTTCGTTTAGGTAGAATCCAAAGTTGACTTAAACAAAATCTGAAACTGAGTGAAAAAAAAAATGCCACTAAAACTCTGAATAATATCTGCTATGGTTGGTGATATTTCAATGAACTGGCATGGATATATATATATATATATATATATATATATATATATATATATATATATATATATATAT